TTAAGGCATTCTGCCCTAAGGAGGGAAAGGTGCACACAATTTTAGATTAGCCACAGGCTTAAGATGTTCAAGATGCTCAACTGTCCAAGCTTCTAGCTAGAGTCCTATAGAAAAGCGTTGCGATTCAGGCAAAAATAGTTTTTCAGTTACACTTGTCTAAAGAACAACAGATTCCTAGATGTCCCCAAAGGTACTTTACCCTTTTCTCCATGCTCTGTGAAAATCTTGTATTGCATCAGTTTTTTTGGCTGCTGATCCCCGGTAGCTATATGACGGGAATGCAAAGTTGTCATTTACTGCTAGCAACAAAAAAGGCTTTCCTTTCCATTGTGTGGAAAGGGTATCTTACTAGCTACAAAGCTTCCTCTGTTTAACGTGACTTCTGAATGATGCCAAGACACCAATATCTGTAGTCACCATCTGGCTCCACAGAGTAAAATGAAAAAGCAATGCTGCCATCATCAGGGAAACCCATGCATTCTCACATGGACTTAAAATTTGAGAAATTGCTTTTCATATCTTTTTTGACTTATTGGAAGTTTCTCCCTACTTATTAATGTTTGTTGAAACAAATCCAGTGTCACAATACAAAATGATTGTAATTTTACTTACTACCTCACAGGAGTAAGAAGAGGTTTATAATTATGCACTGGTATTTATAAAGTACTCTGGTACTCTTGTATATGAATGGATGGAATTTTAATTAAGTTAATACTACTTTGTTTGGCAATATCAAATTTTAAGCCATTGCCCTTGCAGAATATTCATTCAGTAGATCATTCAGTTGCGACACTCTGCTAAGATGCTGACATTCTGTGAACTGAAAATTAATTGCTTGTGACAAGTAGCCTGAAGAGGCAACCCTTGAATTGTTAATATTCAGCTCTGCTAACATGAACTTTGGTTTTTTTTGAGGGGGGGTTTGCCCCCTCCTTCCTTCCTGAAGTCTTTGTTTACTCATGTAGGTTTTAATTGTATTAAAAAAAAACTCACCCAAAGTAAAATAGCAAATGTTTACCTTAACATATAAAAAGGTATCATCTCATCTTTATATGTTTGGAGAAAATCTTGCTAAGAAAGTAAAAACAAACTATACTATTGTATAGTTTACAATGAAAACTATAACTACTTTTCCTAATTTTATGATGCCAAAGACATTACCAATTCCAGGATGACACAGCTAATACGAAAATATGTGACACGGAATGTAATCTCACATTTAGATACCAGAAACCTAGGCCCCTGCTACTCGTCACATATATTATGCAGTTAACTGGTTAATCACTCAATAAATTTAGACCAGCCACACAAGCAAAATAAGACTAATTACATGAACATGGGGCTATACTACTACTTAAGATATGATTAACTGGTTAATCACATCTTAAGTGTAATCTCTGCCAGGGGCCTTAGATTTTTCTAAGTATTATTATTTCAGTGATTTATGTTACCGGGGTTTTTTTCAGGCTGACAAAGTTTGTATTGCTTATCAAAGTATTTGTGCCAACTGAAAACACTGTGGACAAGAGAACAAAGAGACATAATACTACTCTAAATGTTATATTATGATATTATATAATTTATTATTAATACTACTAATGATGGTGGTGATGAGGATTATAATAAAAATTCTTGATCCTCATGTAGGTTTATCTAATAAATGATGCTTAGACTATTCCAAATGTGTGTAGTGGCTATAAGTCTTATGAACATGACAGTTCACATGTTCTTGCCATTTATACTCAGAAGTACACTAGCAATACACACACAACTCAGGAATCTTAAGTCATGCAGAGATCAGCAGTGAATAAGGTTACATTCATTCCTGACAAAGCACTTTTCTCTTGTGAATTGGCTAGTTCAGCATATGCCACAGAGGAATGTTCAGATGACACTGCTGACCAGATGGGTCAGAGCTATCATAATAATGTACAAATTTCTGATACTCCTTAGGGGAGAACCCCCAATCCTGCATCACTTTCCACTTCAGTAGTATCCTCAGGAGAAGTCACCTATGATGAAGTCAATTCCCTGAAATTCCAGAAGATTATACTCAGCTTAAGGACAGATCACAGGATGCTCTTAGCTGGGAAATAATTTAATGCAGCTTTGTCTTGGTTTTTCACATGGCAAGAACCATAAAGTTGTGCTATCAACAACAGCAAGCTTTTGGGAAACAAGGAAACTGGGTTGTGTAAGTACTTACTGCTTGTAAAACTACTTGACTACCCAATCACTGAGAAAAAACCTACCTGCAAAAGGGCAACTGAATTAAAATCTGACCCTCTAATGCATTTTCATACCGTTCTCACTTCAGCACTGATGATGCTTCCAGCATAGTGGACAATGACATTATAAACACACTTTTCCTTTTTTCTTATTAATAAATTAGGTCAGCAGTGGCAAGCAGCGCTGAGAATCTTTGAGCTGCTTTCCACCATGTCCTTGCCATGGAAAGTTGTCTTTCAGATGCTAGTACAGGCTTATCCCTTATTTAATCCATCACAATCTTGCAAATACCTCCATTTCAGTCATAATGCTTCTTTTAGTCAATTCTTCCACCTGAAAGAGGTTTTCTATTGTTTTCAACTTGTTCAGAACGTAGACTCATGGTCTGCACTTCCTTTAATTCTATGTAAATTCAAGTCACTTTTAAATTAAAATTCACTCTCTTTTAATATACACTTTCATATGCAGCAGAATGTTTTTCAATTTCCCAAAACTAACAGATGAAGTAGGATTTTTCAGAAGCAGATACTTGTCTCTCCTTTCTTCCCTGCTCTACTTCCAAAGTTTTGAGCACATATCCCTGCCACTGAATTGTCTATGGAAGGGAAGAATTCAGCCCTTTGAAATTAGTCTTGCCTTATTAGACGTAATTTACTTTCTGCATCACTAGGTGTCTTACACCAAGTCTACACTATCATGATTCAAAAAATCTCATCAGCATCAACCCAATGCATTGGAGCAGAAAATCAGGCCCTACATACTTACAATTAGGTCATGGGCACATGAACAAGGTACCAGCAAGTAAATGAGGGCAGGGATTTACAGCCTATCAGCCACTAATTGCTCATATGCACGTTAGCTAGTACAAAGTAACTGCCCATTTGCACACTCATTCTCCAAAAGTAAATGAAAGGTATCCCATGGGAGCTTAGCCCTTTTTCATTGACTTGTGTTCCCTGAATAGACATCAGCCTAATTTGGCTCACAGTTACAAGTGTTGGCACAAGTTGTAATCAGTCCTTTTTTTAATGCCAAGGAAATACTAATCATAATTCTTCCAAAGTTTTCCCACTTTAAATCTCCAGCCAAAAGAACAGATACATGGCTATGAAAAAAAGCCCACAGCAGGAAGTTTACAGACTTAAAACACATACTAGCAACAAACCTAAGTTTATTCTATTCCACACTGTATCTCTATTTAAATGTATTTAATATATTTAAGAATTCAGTTTAACATATTCTGTGATTATATTCTCACCTAGGATAAGATTTAGTATTCTATGCATTGTACATACAGTGGTTCCATCCCACCACATTCACTTAGCTTATTAAAAGTGAAAAGGTGTTGTGGAAAAGGTAGAGTAATAAAAACCACTGCACACCACGTTTGTGAGAATATACTTACCATGCTGTTCATTTTTGAAGAAGAGGAACTTGTTCTCTGCTTTCGTAGACTATTATGTCCCTCTGTGTTTCCATCCTTTGGTTTCACTATCAACCTGCTACTTCCAGCCGTTCCTTCTGAAGAGGACCTCAGGCGTTTTTCTATGAATCTGCCTTCTCGGTATGGACTGAAGCTACTGGAAAGATCAACTACAAACAGAAAAACAATCAGCAAAAACTTCACATTGACTGAACAGTTTCATTTGAATGGAGGTTATTCATTTAGTAGAGAACTCCTGGCTATTTTTCCATAAAAAGGCACACATGTAATACTGTCAGCCACCAATCCATTGGGTTTTACCTAATGGTCCATTTATTTTTGTCCAGCCATCAGGCTCACTACATTACTTCCCATGCTCCAGAAGGACTTGCCTTCCCTTCCTCTCTCTTCCCCATCTCAGGACACTCACCTGCTGAGCTCCTGGACAACACTACACACTGGAAGAACTCTTCCCAGATAATTTGTTGACAGAGAAAACTTGACTGGCTTTCCTTGCTCTTCAGAGCAGGCTCAGCTTTCAGCTGCCTACAGCACCATAAATGTTCCAGAAGAGCGCCTGGATGTGCCCAGCTTACTGAAAACGTGGCTGGACATTAGGCCTGTGCAAGTAGGCAGCTATCCAATCCGGCTTCAGATCCAGCCACTTCAGATGCCAGCAATCTGAACTGGAGCTCCGGACTGGGTTTCCGCTTTGATCCGGCCAAAGTGGCTCCGAAGCTTCAGAGTTGCCTTGGAGATCCAGCCATAGGGTATAATGTTGGTGGATGAAACTTGCAGGAATGGCAGTCCCTGGGGAGAGCATGAAGCCTGCCAATTTTCAAGAAGATCGGTGCAGGGTTTGGGGAAAACTGTACCCCAAATTCTTGAAAGCAAAACTCATGTCATGTCTATGTGTTAAACCACAGGAGGGTCAAAACTGCAGGGGTAGTATCCCCTGCTGAGGCCACAAAGCCTGCCACGTTTCAAGAAGATCAGTGCAGGGGTTTGGGGGAAACTGCACCTCAAGCTGCTGACAGGCAATACTCATGACAGATGACCCTGTGTGTGTTAATGCGCAGCAGGCTGAAAACTGCCGGGGAAATGGCCCCTGCTCAGGCCACAAAGCCTGCCAAGTTTCAAGTAGGTAAGTGCAGGGGTTGGGGGGAACTGCATCTCAAGCTGTGGACAAGTTTTGCCTATCAGCAGCTAGGGGTGCAGGGCCCCAGAGCCCCCGTGCACCGATCTCCTCCACAGCTGGCAGGCATCACAGCAGGGGCCACCATCCCTGCAGCTTTCACCCCACTGCACCTTAACACACACACTATCACCCATGTCACGAGTTTTGCTTGTCTGCAGCTTGAGATGCAGTTCCCCCCAAACCCCTGCACCTATCTCCTTGAAACTTGGCAGGCTTTGTGGCCTCAGCAGGGGCCACCACCCCTGCAGTTTTCATCCCATGTTGTAACACACAGACATGACATGAGTTGTGCTTTCAAGAATTTGGGGTGCAGTTCCTCCCAAACCCCTGCACCTATCACCTTGAAACCTGGCAGGCTCCGTGGCCTCACGAGGGGCTACCACCCCTGAAAATGTCATCCAAATGAGACAAAAAAACAACAAAGTTATAGATATTTCATTGATTCCCCATTATGCCCTATGGCCGGATCTCCGAAGCGGCCCTGAAGCTTTTCCAAACCACTTCGGAAAGCCTAACGAAGCCAGCGCTTCGATCCAAACGTGCTGCTTCAGACGCCGAAGCGGCCAAAGCTTCTCTGGATCCGAAGCAGGGTCCGAAGCCTCGCACAGCCCTACTGGACATACCTTGCATGCCAGCACGCAACAATGGGAAACATTCATTCCAGGACAGGAGCTCCATTCATTATCACTAAGTAAGGTTCAGACACAGAGGGGTTGACCTCTTTCCAACTTACCCAGTCTTGGCCAAACAAAACTAGAGCCTGGCACCAGCCTACATCTATCATTCAGCCAGCAAGCTGAATTCACTTCCCACTCACCTCCCACCCATAGTTAAATGGTATAATATGGAGGAAAAGGGAAAATACGAACTTCTCCCCACCAAAAAAAAAAATATCTAAGCAAGCAGGATGTAAGCATAAGAAAAGCATGGCAGTATAAACAACCTTCCCTCTTTTACTAATAGGGAATAGGTGGATAGTGATATATTAAAAAGTTTAGATTAATGTTATATGCTGGAATATAAAACGTATGAAGAAATATATAGATTATCACTGTATTCGAACAATCCATAGCTCAATCCTTTCCAGTCTAAAACTGTATATCACTTCCAACAAAAACGGTTGGATTGCCATCCCTATCAGTCAAATAAGAACCTTTTTAATTTGAATTTATCAAAACATGAGATTTTGCATTGAATATAGATTCTGGAATTTTTTTGCAAGAGGGGCATAAACTTAAACTTGTTCAAGTTATTTATACTTACTAATTTTACACACCATATATGATTTCCGCCCCCCCCCCCATTTCTTCAATTTAATTTGTATAGATGGCAGCATTTTATGCACAGTCTCAACTGTTTTTTCCTCCCATGTGGTCATACAGGTTTTTTTATTTTAAATAATTTTTTCATTACTCATCAAAAAGGAGGGGAAAAAAAAAACACACATCTTTTCTTTTTCAATAGGCAAATGTAATCATAGCATGACAGCAATTAATCCCATGTTAGCTAGACATAAAATATAACATGAGTGGCCCTTTACCCAACTTTTGCGCGCACAGAAAAATCTCTAGTTTGAATTAAGTGGCATTTGATTTGTCAGAAAAATAGGCTGAAGCATGAGTGCTGCTGGCATCCAAACAGAAATACTGTGAGGCCTGTGTAAACAATCAAATTAACACAAGTTAACAGGGCCAAGGAGTTACTGTGGAACAGCTAACACAGAAGCTGCAAACAGATGTTGCCCTTGTCATAGCAGAAACATTTTTATGGCAGCATAAAATGTGAGCAACCAGACATCCTTGACCCTTGTTGCACCCCAAATGCAGGGGAAGTCTATTTGGTTATGGCACAATCCCCACAACCTGAGGCTGCCTGTACTCTCCAGATGTCCCAGGCAGGGGATTCTGGGGTGCACATACCATACTGCCCAGTAAGGGAACCCCATGGAGTTCCCCACTCTGTGTTTGCATATGCACGCCCCAGGTCAGGTCCAGGCACCTGGGGCCACTGTCCTATAGGATCAGGCCTCTGAAGCCCCAGAAACAGCAGGGGCCTGACCTTGGGGGACAACGGCCCCAGGCAATATCTGTTCTGGCCAATGCATCCAATCAACTGTGACAGGAGACATCCTGGCACAGCTGACACAGCTGATCCCATAATAAAAATGACATCTGCTTGTCGGCAAAGCAACTGTTTACATGCCTGCAATTACCCTGCAGTAAGAAAAAACTTTAGGGCAACCTAGCCCTCTTTCATTCAGGGGTAATTTTTCCCAATTGACCTTCCATTTAATACAGCTCAAGAGAAAATTACTTAAGTTTAGACAATGATCAAATAACACAACATTGAACAGAAGCCCCGTGAGGCTCAGTTAGGTGTAATATCTAAAACTAATAGTATTTTTTTAATTGGGTAGGCTTCAGTGTTGAAAATGTTCCTTCTAACAAAAGCTAAATAGCCTGACAGTGCCAGTCACCTGTGAGACAGCTATTGTAATACAATGCCAGAAATGCATACATGCAAGAAAATATGAAGAAATGCCCACCTTTAAACCCAGTCTATATACATAGTTAATGTGTTTGAGGAAATATGTATTTGCAAGTTCTTTTTGCTTCCATGAGTTCTTTTTGCCAACCCTCAATCATTTATTGTGAGTAATGAAATTTTGGCAACAGCTGCAGGTAGCTGATGCTTCTGCCGAAGGCCCAACTTTCATGTTACCTTGAGGAAGCAAAATATGGAAGCAAGATAGTCCCACACAGTGTCCTGCAGTAAAGAGATGCTGCCCTTAAATTGAAGCCTAGAGACACAGCTCTTCCACTAATTGCTGTACCTAGACATATGTAAAAAGTATTAGGGTGATGATGATAAACTAAAGAAACATAGGGCAATCCAGGAGGATAATTATCTTTTTCATGCATCCCAGAGAAGATAACAGACCTTGTACAACACCATCAGATAAAGACTTGGATTGTATTGAACTTCCATCTGTAACAGAGGCAAGCCTTTTGCACTCTCATACCATCTTCCAAAAAGAACATGCAAAGGGCTTCTGTTGTCCACATTAACAGGAGGTGACCAGGTCACCCTCTCACAGCTAGACTATGTAAAAAGTTCATGATGCTGCTGTATTTTCTGTTCCTAAAGGCAGAGGTTTTGAGAAGTCCTGGAAGCTCAGTTTTTAGAGCCAGAAGTTCTGCACTCAGTTTCGCCTCATGATCATAGCAGGATCACCATTAACATTCATCTGCAGCTACTATGCCACCATCTGCTGCTTCCAGGGTCAGAAACAGAAACCAAGAATCCAGAAGTTTGGTTTTCACTAATGCCTCATAAAGTACTTTTGTAAGCCATAGCAACATGCCTGTTGCCTCTGCTTAGAGGCAAAGTTATATAAAATTACAACAGCATACTCTATGCTTCTAATTACTCTTATTGCTCCAACTGAATACAACTGTGCAGTGGTTCTGAAGGTTACAAGGTCAACTCTGCTGAGGTAGTATGAAAAATCTACCTATGTGTAGAAGGGTTCATATATGAACCATGAATTAACTCTTGAAATGATTTTATAATAAAAAATCTATTTAGAAGTGAATTTGTATATTAATACTTGTTTTACCTTTTTTGTGACTGCATATTGGTCGACAGGAACTCTCCCAGTAGGAACAGGCTATAGCAGGTACAGCCTGTTAGGGACTGAGAATGGTGTATAGAAGAGTTTACCTGGTTGTTCAAAGACTTGAAGGTCATGGTTTGTTGCAAGCTCCAAAAAAGGTCAAAACTTGATTTGTAACAAAACCTTTTCCAGAAAGCAAGCTTCAATCTTTGAAGTAAATATAACAGAGTAGCCTTCACTTAGAGGGGCTTGGTTAGTCCCAGTTCTAGTGTCTTACAGCCTAAGTTTGCAGCTAAGCTTTGTTCATGATTATAAATTCTTGGAGCACAGGGTGTATCTTATTATGTGCCTAGTACAAGGGCTCCACCTGAGCTGCCACCTCTAACAGTTCCTGCAGCACAGGCCAAGATCACCTTACTCATAAATTTGCAAGGGTTGACAACACTGTAAAGTTCAATACATTATGAACAGTCAAGAGGAATTAATAAAACATGAGAAGACAGTCCAAAACATGGATATTTATTTTTAATTCTCATGATTTTGGTGCCAATCTGATGAAATTGTTACACCTGAGGCATGATTTCTGAACTGCAACAATACACTAAACAAACTACTTTGTTATTCAGAATTCCTCTTAGAGAAGAAACCAGGCCAAAAGCATACAACATACCTTCAGAGTGATTAACCTCATATTCCTGTTGTTGTTTAAAAAACTGAGTTTCAGAAGACGACGGGAGAATCTTAGATGCCATTACAGGAACCATTTCTTTAATGTGCTCAGGTACTGTTAAGTTGTGGTGGCCACCACTTAATTCATGTGCTTTTGGGGTGGTTTCCATTGTTTTTTCTGCACAATTTAACATCAAGGTTTCTAATTGTGCATCTGCAGAGTTAATTTTGCCTAAAGGCCCGGCATCTTCAACAGGTAGTTCAGTGGCCTGTAGTAATACTTGTATTTGATTAGCAGCAGAGGTCTGGGGTAAGATATTTGATTCAGTATTGCATAAGGTTGTGCATCTCACAGGAGCTATAACAAGCTGGGAAGTACTTTCTACGTGCTCATTTTCCCTCATGTGAGCTGTAGCTGGGTTGAGGAACATCCGAGAGGTAGAAACATGGTGGCCAAAGTTCTCTGGGAGCAGTCCTGTGTTTGCATTATTAGTTGGTGCATCAACTTCTGAAACAGAATCCTCTGTCAAGGCTAAAAACTCCGAAGGGGTGTGGACTGTGGTGGGATCAGCGGAAAGTAGTGGCGATTGCAAAGAACTTCCTGTGCATTCTGTTATCTCAGCAGAGCATGAAGGAGAGGACCTTACTGTGACAGACTCACGTTCAACATATGGTTTAATCTCTAATAAGCATCCAGACTGTTGCACGCAGGATACCGACTGGCTCTGGGGGACTGGCTTTGAAAACTTGTAGTGCGAAGAAAAAGACTTAGGGAGAAGTTTTCGTGTGGGCTGTTTAGTGGAGCATCTGCTTCGCTCCTCTGTAAAGCCAGAGTCATCACTCTCATTCTTGCCAGAACTTAAGCAATTTATGAAGACATTCTTATTAGCTGAGGGCTCCTTCCCCTTTTCAAAGTCCTCTGTCAAAGACCTTGTTATTTTCTTGCTGCACGAGCTGCCAAAACCAACCGAATGTCTCCCTCTGCTTTTAACGTGCTCCTCCAAGCTGAGTTTCTGCAAACTGTTGTGAGCAGACTGGACGCCATTTGAAATACTTATATTCTGGTTTGCAGATTCAGATTTCTGTTCACTCCCTTTCTTGTGATGAAAGCTAATGGAAGGAGTACGGAATATGCTCCTACGCTTGCCTGTACTCCCTGAGCTTGAATTTGTGCTAGAAGGAGAGGAACTGTGGACACCAACAGTATTGACAGAGGAAGGCGAGGAAGGAAGGGAGTCGTGTCTTCGGCTAATACTCCTCCTGAATATTGGCAATCGGGACACAATAGTTGACCGTCTTGATCCTGAATCCCCCATCAGGACCTGGGGTTCTAGGTAGCCAATACACCAATCTGGGGTAAGTAGGGAAAAAGAAAAAAATAACGATTTTAAAGAAGCAGCATACATATATATGCAAGCATATGTTAAAGCAATCTAAATAAATGAAGACTTTTAGACTTAAAAAGTCCATTGTTCAGTACAGATGGATCTTGCTATATTTAACCAAAGGCATTTATTAGTATGTCAATGTGCAGTCAAAACTGAATTTCTGAAACTCTTTTAACTGAGTAAAAGGTTAGGCTCAAAGTGTATTAAATACCATAGATTTTCTTTTTTTACATTCCATCCAAAGTCCATTTGTTCCATCACATCAGGCCCCACTTACTTCAAGATTTTAAACTCCCCAAAAGAAGAGACCCTGATTTATCTAAGTTCTGTGACGTGCTCAGCTCTGTTCTTGCCACTTCAGGGCTGAAATTTTCATAGGAAGCCAAAGGAGTTAGACAACGGGAGTTAAGCACACTGTAGACACCCTTGAAAATCCCAGCAAAATTGCATTACCTATGAGCTACTAGATAAATCACATGGGAAAGGAAATACCATCTCTGGCATCAGACTTTTTTTTATGATTTAATATTGATTTCTTCCTGAGACCCTTTACAATTTTTTACCAATAGAAAACTAGAATACAAGTTGCCATTTGCAGCCTACAGATTCTCTCTCAACTTTTTACAGAAATAACTGTGTAGTTTGATCAGTCTTATTTATATTAAATTGCCTATGTCTTATTTAGAGCTAAACTATTTTAAAATAAAATAATTTGAAATGCTTGGAAATATCTCAAGTTAATAAATTTAGTTTCCAATCAAATTAGCACAGTGGTAGAATTTTAGGAAAATATATATTCTGAGTGGATCCCAATCTGTGTTTGCGTAATGAATGCAGAACCATAAAGAGAACAATATGGAGATGTGATATACGATCATAAGTACAACCAAAACTCTACATGTGACTTTCAATTACATTAACTGGAATTTTGAGTGTTCAGGATCTTGGGGGGGGGCAGGGAGGCCATTTATCAAAATATTCTAGGTCAAGTGAAAAAAGAAGCCAAGAAAAATAATCATACTGACCAAATGAGCATGAAGATTTTAACCATAAAATGATGTAATAAAAAAAATAAATCAAGCAGCCGTGAATAATTAAGAAAAAAAATCAGTGAACAGAATAATTGAAGGAATAGTCAAATTAAAGCAATGAAATACATGTCAAGCCAAGAGCAAAAGAATCAGTAATAACGAAATCAGTCCAGGGATTCTCCTATGATGACTAGTCTTTGTACTGTAATTTCTGCCTCATCAAAACGGCTGCTAAGGTCCTAGCCTCCATATGTTATCCAAGCAGATATAGTATCAGGATTCACAAAGATCAGGAATCAATAAAGCAATTTTGTGGCTTAAGATGAAAGCAACAGCTTGAGAATGGTAGGTAATCTATATAAAAAAAGATGAAGGGGAAAAACACAAACCCTGGTGATGTTTGATGACAAGCTAGGAATATAAGGTGGGTGCTACTGAGGTTTCAGCAGTTCTGAAATCAAAACAAACTTGAATTCCAGTTTTACAGGAAATGGAAAAGCTAACTGAAATTGGCTTTAGTAAATCAAATGCAAAAAAATTTTTTTTTAATTGTTTAAATACGTAAGAGCTGCAGCATTTCCACTGTTAAGAGAGAGAGTGTGAATATGCATGTACATGTACTGTAGATGTATATGAAGTTCAGAGACTATACATCTTTATATATACATCAACTCCTGGCACAGCCCCCAAGGATAAGAGCTATAATCTCTCCTCATCAATTTCCATTCTTCCATTTGTGTGGAGGGTCTTTTGGGGAGGGAAATGTGAGAGATTTTTGTTCGACTGGGGGGGGGGAGAGAGAGAGAGAGAGATGCAAAGAGAGATGTATGTATGTATGCATGCATACATGTAGAAGGGAAATGAATTTAGAAGAGAACTTTCATTGTAACCTAGGGACTCAAATTCTGCAATAGCAGCGAAGAGATAGTTGGGCCAACAAGCTACCGCTTGAGCTGGCAGCACTAGGCATATGAACTACCCCTGAGTATAGCTGCATTAGTGACAGCCTGAAGATCGGGGGAAAGGCAACTAGTGCAACATTAGGGTCTGGCCAGCACTTCACTTGGAGTAGGCACCAGTCCACAATGGGGAAGCAGATAGCATCAGATAGCTTTCCCCACACCCCCTGCTTTTCTCTGCATTGTAAATTTTATCAATATGTCCATGAAAAAAACCTCACGAGGAAAAATGCCAAAGAAAGCTCAAAAAACTGTTCCCCCATCCCTCCCTGATGTCACATGAATGAAAAACCTAACAAACAGTGCCTTTCTAGGAGCGCTTCTGGCATTCTTAGCCATATTCTAAATAACTGAGTTGGAAACTCTAAAATCTGCTTCTGTACTTCAATTTACTTCTTGTATTGAGGTTCCAGGGGGAAAACAGGAGAAAAAGGTTATTCCTTTGCATGAAGGATGCTAAGAATTTATGCCCCATCAAAAATTCGTATTTAAACTGTGGAAATGGGGAATGTTCAATAACAGTATGTGGAAGCTGAATTACTAAATCACTACCCGCTAGCTGTGGCAAAATTACTTTTACCATAAGTAAGAGAACTGAACACTTAGAAAATAACAACAAGAATAAAGTTTACTAGTTCTTCACATCCTGAAGCAACCTAGAGTGAAGCTGACTTAACACAGTACTGTTTGCAATGATTATTTTACTGGCACCTGAGCTGCATACCAGACAAACTGAAATAATTCTAGAAGCTCGTCCTACACATTCATCCTACAATCTGAATGTGAGACTGCAGCGCATGTATTGTTTCTTTAAAGCTTCAATAAGAAAGTCAGGCAAATAAGGGACCAGGAAAGGTGCTATGCAAAGCTCTGCAGGGAGACTACATAGAGTAGTAGTACTCAACCTTCTGGCCCCACATGCCCAAATCCAGCCACGTACCCCACATACACAGATTTGACCACATAAAACAATCTAGCATGCACAGCCACATCACCCAGCCCATGGGGCTTATAACCTGTCCAAAAATTTGGTAGCAAGGTAGTGACAATTCACGGTGCCACCTCTACCCTGCCACCTAATTTCTGGACATGTGGAAAAACCCACAAGCCAATGACACTGTTCTGCAGGCCAGATGTTGAACATAGTTTCATAGTCGGTAGGGTCAGAAGGAACCTGAGCAGATCATCAAGTCCGACCCCCTGCCATAGGCAGGAAAGGATGCTGGGATCAAACGACCCCAGCTAGGTGATTATCTAGCCTCCTTATGAAGCCCCCCAGGGTAGAAGCGAGCACCACTTCCCTTGGAAGTTGGTTCCAGATCCTAGCCACCCTGACAGTGAAGTAGCGCCTCCTGATATCTAGCCTGAATCTACTCTCAGTCAATTTATGGCCATTATTCCTTGTTGCTCCCGGTAGTACTTGGGGGAACAGGGACTCTCCCATTGCCTGCTGGTCCCCCTTGGCCAGTTTGTAAACTGCCACTGGACTCCCTCTCAGTCTTCTCTTGTGGAGGCTGAACAGGTTCAGGTCCCATAGCCTCTCCTCGTAGGGCCTACCCTGCTGCCCCCTGATCATACAAGTAGCCCTCCTCTGGACCCTCTCGATGCTGTCCACATCCCTCCTGAAGCGAACACCATTAGTACAGAGTAGGGTTGCTCAACCTCTGGCCCACAGGTGAGATCTGGCCCACAGCAGCATGTCATCTGGGCCACAGGGCTCTCTACAGGTCTGGAAATTTGGTGGTGGGGGAGTAGTGCCAAATCTTCTAACTCATGCAGAGCCCCAGACCCTGCATGCTGGATCCACTGCTCGATCCCAGTGCACAGGGCCAGGTGGGGGAGACATCAGGCCCACAGGGCCCAATCCTGATGCGAGGGGCCAAGGCGGGCAGTACCAGGTCGACAAGACCCAATTCCAACACATGGGGAGCAGGGCAGACACAATGCCAGGCTCCTTATATCCAATCCAAGTGTCCAGTGGGGGCAAGGGGAGGGAAGGAGCACAAGGGGGCAGTGCCAGATCCCTGGCACACAATCCTGGTGCACAGGGGGCAAGAGGGGGCCCTAGGACCCAATCCTGGGGCACACTGATGGGGTGGCCAGAGCTCAGGGCTGGAACTGGCCCACAGACAGGTCCCATGACACCCATCTGGCCCATGGGGCTAAAAGGTTGAATACTACTGGTACAGAACACAGGCACACATAACAGAATGGTTTAAACACATAACACACATTAAACCTGAAGCGAACAGACATACAAGCCTATTTAAACCAGCTTAAAGACATCTGAAATGGTTAAAAACTATACCCAGAAAAATCATGTACTGTTTTAAACTGGTTCACTGTGAAATGGTTTTGTGTGAAGACACCAGGCCTTCTATAACATAGGTCTGCCTGTCTTTTTCCATTTTGTTGGTTTGGTTTTTTTTAATCCATGAGCTCCCTTGCCTGCTTGCTCAATAAAAGTTATCTTTCTAACAACCAGTTTGTGACCACACTTTCTTCTCAATTGCAGCCTGACATCCCATCCCTGCTTGTCAGGTTCCTGGGTCCAAGTACTCCCCCTTTCCCATCAAGCCCTGCCCACCAAGTCAGGCAAGCACACTGCAGATTTCAGTCAACTGCAGGGTATTGCAATTTATTAAGAAAAAAGGGAAAGTGGAATATTAAAAATGCCCCCAGCCACTGGCCCCCCACCCCTTGGGACTCCCAAATGATGGATACAAGCATTCCTTCCTTCCCCAGCTATGTGTCTGCACCCTGTCCTGCAACAACTGTGAAATGGTTACCAATATATGACCTTTTGGAACACAGAAATTGTTATGTATGGCCACACCCAAATAAGTTGCAGGACAATACTTTTTAAATTTTTCTTCTAGTTCTATTCAGCAGGAAAACATGATCCCATCCTTTGTCAGTCTCACACTAGACTGCCAGTCAAGCAATACTCTCTGTGAATAATGCCCCATATGG